TTTTTTTTAATAAAAATGAAAATTAATTATTTCTCCGCTATGTATGTTATGCCACAGTCTTCAAATCAAGCTTGTATGTAATTACATGCCCCGAATCACTAAAAGTAACATTAAGTTCAAATTAATTTATATTTAATAATACATGTGTGTTGTTTTAAAAAAAAAAAAAAAGGAAATATCAAGCAATCACCGGAATCAAGTTCAGGTTGCCTGCCACTGAACAACTTCAGAAATTTCACATGTTGTTCTTAGCTATGATTTGGTAAAAATTTTGGCTATATGCGTGGCCAATTTTGCCTAATATTAAAACTAGACTTCAGACCATCACATTAACCTGTTTATACCTCTCGGTCACTTCTTTATTGTTCTTTTTCAGTTTTTCTGGAGAAGAAGAAGAAAAAAAAATGTTATACAGTAATATCCTATAGCATCCAATGAAGTTAGTAGAACTCTAATTGTTGACATTTCCTTTGAAAGATTGACATACTAGGATTTATTGCCAGTAATCATGTGGATTTAAACCACTCAGCTGTAAGGCTTTTCGCATAAGAACCTCCTACAATATCTGTGAAGAAGAAATTCTAATTAGAAGAGGTAAAAGTCTGTTTCCTAGAATTACTGAAATATGATTGGCCATTATAAATATTAATTGAATAACATTTAAGAAGCGCTATCTCCTTTTAAAAAGGAATATAAACATATATATGTTGCTACTTAAAGACCAAGTAATCATTTCTAGCATGAGGATGTAAAACAACTAGAAAAATAAAGCACTACTTAATAGTGAGACAACATCTACTCAGGCATTTTACTACAACTCTTGGAAAAAACAGCAAATCCCATTTGCAACTTATCTAACATTAATACCATTAAAACTATTTTGAGAAAATAAATTCTGTAATTAAATGAAACACCTTTTCTGCAACGCTTTCTTTTTTGGCCTCTGTTTCCCTGATTTGCTTGGGTTTTCATCTCATGTTTTTTCTTCTGAAGCTCCACAAATTTCTACAAGATGAAGAAAAAGCAAATTTTTTTTTTAAAAATCACAATGCGCTGAGAAATGCCGTCTCAATATCTCATTTATCCATGGTACTTTCTTATATCTACTACAATAAAACTTATGCATTGAGTACATCCTACTCTGATGGCATTAAACTGGAACTAGGCAAATCCTTATATCACCTGATCTCTCTGACTTTCAGCCCTCCTTAAATCCCAGAACTATTCAAAGCTGTCTGTACTTTCTAGACATGACACTGAATACAGTCATGTTAGTTGTATTCTCCTGATGTATTTAATGTTTTGTTACTGCATTGATAGTAGTTTGGCATTCAAGGATGACTGACAGTACATTCCTTGCACAGCAGGCTACACATATGGCCAGAAGAGAGTGACTCGTTTTTGCCAAGTTCTTATTTGGATTCAAAAGCCTAACACATAAGCTGCTCTGTTTATCAATGTATCTAATATTTTCACTCTCTACATGCAACAAGAGCATAACCAATTAGCCTGAATGCCTGCAACTAACCCTTAGAGGAAGCAGAACAGCACACCTCTACTTAGCAGATCATAATCATCAGTACAGTGGCTACTATGCTTAGCTCTAAGTCTTTATTAACATAGGAGACAGTTATGAAGAAGCTCATAGCCCACACTCTACCAAAAATAGAAATCTCTGTGCAACTAAGTAGTCTACACACTTCCCTGCTTGCTTTTAATGTAACCAGTACACTAAACACAAACAAAAAAACCAAACTGAAACAAAAAAAAAAAAAACATGTAATACCCAACATAGCCATGCAACTTCAGTACGCTGTATTTATGCTTTGGACATTTGCAGACATGTAATGTTACCCACATTCCACATATTTAAAGAAACTCCAGAAGGGCACGTTTGACATTCACTTTCTCCATCTGTCACTGGTATCAACAGGGGTTTACTGATGGCGATACTTTCAGGTTCACTCTCCTGGAATTCAGAAAGCTGAACTCTTTCAACATCTTCTTTTGTATCTTCCTTTGATAAGGATATTGCACTATCCAATGCATCTCCATCATCAGAGCTTAAGTCAACATCACTTTCATTCAGTCCTGGAGGTAACAGTCCGCTCCACATCTTCCACTCTAAAGACCAGGTCACTCCAGGTCATTGCAAAGACACTAGACTAAGGCACTTACACACCTTGAGATAAAGACACAGTTAGTCTGCAGAAAAGGGAATTAAAAATAGCAAAACACATCATCAGAAATATTTTAGTTTCTTTTGAGAAAATTGCTACCATGAGATGTTTTAGATAAGCTTATTCGAAAGCTTCTAATACTTACTATTTCAGAGGGAGAGAGAGGACCTAAGCAAGCAGACTAAAGCTATGAAAATGTTACAGCTTTTACTGTTTTTTTTCCCTCCTTGTTCTTTAAAGCTTTCACACTTCGGATTTGCTCACAGCTGCCTTCAGTTTTAGCTGCGGTGCGGCAGCAACGCCTCCCGTCTCTCTCCGGGGGCAGCGGGGCAGCACACCCAGCCCTCCCACGCCACCGCCTCCCCTCGCCCGA